GGTCCTCCAATCCCATTACGCCGGGTTATAATCCTGTGATGTGTTTTCTACCACTGGAACCCGGAAGTGAATGGTTGGTGACGTATCCGTAGGAATGTTGGTGTGCTCTTTAGTCAGAGTCCACGACATTTGTCATGTCACCGCTTGACCCCGTAACTCCGCTAGTGAACAATGACAAGGGAACATAGGAAGGTATAAACAAGTCATATCCTCACTGTGTAACCACCGTTCATCTTTGAGGGTTACGATAGTTGGATCCGTCATAGAATCGCCAAACATGTAATGTGTCTTTCTTAAAGGATAAGCAGGATCCGTATCTTCAGGGAACGGCGCGTCTGTAATTAATTGGCGCGTGATGCGACGACCCCGCTCCCGTACTAACTTAGAGAATTCATCTGGGAGGTCCAAAGCAAATTAAGAAGTGGAAGGAATCAATGTCGGATTATCAACAGCGGCATAATATCTACTCATGTGGTCATCTATCTCGAATGGAGAAAACAGTGTCGCAGGGTATTCAACTAAAACGAGTAACGCGTATTTATCAAACCCAGTTATGAAGAAATATTTAGGCAACACGGGATGTTGAACTCTTTTCACCAATCCGTAAGATAGAGTCACTACCTTGTAATTGGCGAGATGATTTTAACCGTATCACGAATACACAAGATAACATACATTATCTTACGAAACGTAAAACGGCAAAAATCGCCCCATATTGCCTTAAGACGCATTTTGACCAAGCAAAACGTATCCGATAAGCATCCACCCCCACAAAGGAGGATAACAACTCTTCTCGACTGCCTCACCAAGGAGGACAGAGAGGGGATGCAATATGCAATATGATATGATAAAAATTGAATTCATAAGGAGGAAATTACAAGGGTTTACCGGTGAAAGATGGACGTTCCCTCTCAGGTGACTGAGTAGCCGAGCGGCTCCTCGGGAGGCATGATCTCCTCATCGACATGGCTAATCTGTAATAGAGATCAACAGTTCAGTCATATACAAAGTTCAATCATGTACAACCAAGTTCAGTAAACTCCTACACAAGTCAGGTATATCATATGCATGCAGTCAAGCTAAAGGAATCGGATTTTGTCAAATCAAGATCCTCTCATCAAAGCCAAAAGTTAAATATTTTTTGTTGTGCAAAAGTGAATCCTACTCAAATACAAGTTCAGTTTAAGCCCACAGCTCAGACGGGATTTACATATCAAACTAAGCTGCGGTGCTCATCGATGTCGAATCCACAAATTTAGTCTAAATTCAACATACAACCACAGATTCAACCATCGACATCAACCAAGAGTTAAAAGAAAAAATTCGGCTATGACTACGGGTTCAATCATCAATCAGCCAAGAGTTAAAAGAATTCGGCCATATACAAGCTGTCATTAAACATCAACCATGAAGAAGAATTCGTCCATGAATAAGTTCAGATTCACAACCCAAAGTCAGGCTCAAAAAATTCTCAACAAACCGAATACCTTCGACTGTACCCAAAACAGAGCATACAACTCTAGTTCTTAAACCGAAGATTCATATCATGTCCAAAGTCGAAGCTAAACAAAACAGAGTCTCGGTCATGACCAAATTCAAGCTAACAAGCTTTCAGCTTCGAATCATCCCGTATACAAATGTTCAGACAACAAACTAAGAAGAGTTTTAGCCATGTTTACATGCGAAGTTATGAGTTCAGATTAATAATTCCCAAATCAAGTTCAAGAATTTCAGCTATGATTCAAAATTCAAAATCAGACAATTTAGTGAAGGAGTTCAGTTCGAGTTTCGGTCAGCACTTAAGTTCAGGTTCAAGTCATCAACCAAAAGCTCAACAAAAATTTCGGTCAACATTCAAACCCCAAATCCAAAATTTGGTTTTCCCCCAAAATGCAAGAACTAGGGTTTCAACCATCAAGCCAACACTCAAAGACTTAGCCAAAATTAAAGGAAAAACGTTGAATCTTACCTGAAATTCGAAGAAGGATCAAGGAGGAGAAAAGACCCGTCGAAGCAAGATCCACCAAGTGCTCGAACCCAATTTAAGGCAGCCAAAACCCTAGGTTTGAATCTCCCCCTTCTGCTCGAATACGAATTGGAAGAAGAGAGGAAGGAGAGGATAGGGAATTTAAAGGGGGGGCTTTGATCTTGTTAAGAATTCTTGGTGTGGAGAAGTTCTTGGATGGTTAGAATTTGGGGAAGAAGAAACCGAAGATGGGGAAGAAATGGCTGGGACCGAATTTAGAAAAGAAGAAGGAAAGAGGGACTTAAATCCCTGATTTCAGACAACCCGACCCGCTATTATACGGGTTGGATCGCCGCTCGACCCGCGAGCACGTGGGTCGGATTAATATGACCCGCGTTCGCACGGGTCGGATCGATCTGACCTGTGTTCGCGCGGGTCAGACACGATCTGGCATTTGTTTCATTGTATTCCCGCCTGCTTTCGTTCATTATTCGGAATATTCGAGACTCACTTTCATATTTCCGGGTAATTTTGCAGCATTTTCGCTTATATTCAGAATATTTGGGACCTACTTTCATATTTTCGGGTGGCTTCGCGATATTTTTGCTCACTTTCGGAATGTTCGGAATCCAATTTCATACTCCTGGGTAATTTCGCGGCATTTTCGCTCACTTTCGGAATGTTCGGAATCCAATTTCATACTCCCGAGTAATTTCACGGCATTTTCGCTCATATTCGGAATATTCGGGGCCCGCCTTCATACTCCCGATTAATTTTGCGGCATTTATGCTCATATTCGAGATATTCGGGACCCACATACGCTCCAATGGGTATGCGAGTCTAAACTATTTCCCACTTTTGACGGGAAGTTCCTCGAGAATATTACGTGTAATAATTCTTAAGGATAACCTGACAACCTCCGATGGGTACACGAGGTTAAACTGATTCCCGAAACTCCTAGGAATATACGAGTATGAACTGGTTCTCCTTAGGTCAACGCGAAACCCTAGGGTTAATGCCAGTCAATGCGTTGCGATGAGAGTCAACGACAATTGATATAAAACCCTAGGGTCAACGCCAGTCAATGCGTTACGATAAGAGTCGATGTCGATCGAAACAAAACCCTAAGGTCAACGCCGGTCAACGCGTTGCGACGTAGATAATTAGTTCAAAAGTTAACTCAATGACACGAGCCAAAATCAACTCACCAATTCCGGTTCGAGGTTTCAACAACGGTCAGACGATAAACGCAGCACCGGGAAATTTTTTAGCTATTCGATAAAATACAGAATAGGCTGAAATATAGAGAAGTCAAGAACTGAAACAAGTTGTAGGTCCTTTGACGCCGATTGAAGGTGAGGGTCTATCATATCCAAAGCATTCCAGACTCCTCTATAAAAGAATGAGGCTGAAACATTTTGGAGGGGGTATCTGTAGGCGTCTAAAATTGCCTATGAGAGCCCGTACGAAACTCAAAGCAAAGAGTGGACGAGTCAAGAAGGTTTACCCAATCGGCTCGCGCACGTCATACCTAATCAGCTCGCGCACGTCGGTCAACACGCACGCGTCAATCAGCTCGCGTGCGTCGGTCAACACGCGCGCGCCAATCAGTTCGTACAAGTCGGTCAACACGCGCGCGTCAACTAGCTCGTACGCGTCGATCAACACGCGCGCGTCAATCAGCTTGCGCGTGTTGGTCAACATGCCCGCGTCAATCAGCTCGCGTACGTCGGTCAACACGCACGCGTTAACCAGCTCGCGCGCGTCGGTCAACACATGCGCGTCAATCAGCTCGCGCTCGTCAATCAACACGCGTGCGTCAATCAGTTCGTGTGCGTCAGTCAACACGCGCACGTCAATCAACGCGTGCATGTCAACCAACGCGTGCAGCTCTAAGTAGTCGACGCATTCGACGGTCAGTCCCGCAACGAAGCGTACAAGTCAATGAGTCGACCAAATACATGAAGTAATGAAAAGTACAACTCTCGGCAAACGCAGAACTCGGCGCAGGCGACGGACCCGCGCTAGCGCAGGACGGCAGAGTCCGTCGCGCAGTTTAGAGCCCGAAACGCGTTTTCGACGGTTTTAAAGCGGTTTTCGTATGATTTATCTATTCCAGGGGTTCCCAACTGACTTGATATCATCTACAAACGTGGTTAGGCTATTGTTAACTGAAGATAAGGCCAAATCATTCATTCTCATCCAAATAACCGTACCCGAGGCCTATAAATATCAGCCCAATGCCTCTATTTTACAGATCTGGAATTTTATCAAGAGGACGAAGTGCTGTTGGATTGAATAGTCAAGGAGCACGAAATTTCAGCGAAGGCCAACGAGATCCCAGCGAACTTCAGCACAAAGGAGAAGTCTTTCGAATGATCCGAAGCCCCGTACGTCCGTTCCTTGAGATTAGGTTTAGTCTTAATCTCGAGAAGAGCTACTGATTTCGCTTGGTCAATTTCAGAGCTTCAAGCAAATACTTCATTGGTGAAGTAGGAGCTTCGTCAATTTTTCGACAACCGGATCCGATCCGCGGTCGTCCACGGATAAACCCGGCACCGGTGAAGAACCCACGCAAGCAAGAGCCGATAAACGATTCTCGTGTTTACTTTCAAGAGAAGTGTAATTTTTATTTTTGTTATTTGAATTCATTTGTAAACGATTGAAGTTTTAATGAAATCAATGATGAAGATGACTTTCAACGAAAACACTCATTCCACATTAGCTCAGAGGTGCTCTAGCTACACTTGGAAAACATTGCGCTGGACTGGATAACGGTGATATATCCTAATTGCTTATTTAGGTTTATGACCAACGTCGATTGGAATCTGGGTTCAATGCGAGCCAATATTCAACAGTGACGTAGTATTCGATCCTTCGAAATATCTTTTTGTTCGTGTGGTACTCCATAAACTACGAATCCATGTATCACACTGTGCTCAATTTGCATTGGGAATAGCTTTTGTTTGTGTCATATACTGATATAGTCCATCAACTACCAACTACCAACATGCATCAGAAAATATCTGAAATATTCAGAAAATTTTGTCAATCTAACCTTAGTTACCACAAGGGTCACACTTTTCAAATTCTTCGTCCATATATGTTACTATTTTTTTATTACAGCAAAACACAAACACATTTAACCATAATGAAATTACCATCGAAAGAAGTAGCTAACAACAACCTCAGAAGAGCAGAACACTAGAAGTTCCCTAAATTTGACATACATTAATCCTCTTTCAACCATTCAATTGATAGATCAGTTGACCAGAGAGATCCTGCGGACTTTGATGGGAAGTCCCTTCTCAAACTCGGGGAATGCGTAGGCGAAAGGATGGTCGGGTTCTGCAAGCTCCCAATCGAAGTTCAGAACCAGGTGATGAAGAAACACAGCAATCTCCATCTTGGCTAGTTCTAAGCCTGCGCAATTTCGAAGCCCTTGACCAAATGGCATGTAGTTGTCAATCCTCGCAGTGCTTGAAGAAATAGACTGCAAAATGTTGCAATAAGCAACAAATCAAATATTTGTAATGTGTGTGTTTGTGGTTTTGGTTTTCTTTTCCTTTTTTTTTCAGGGTTGGGGTTTTTTTTTTTTAAGATTGAGTACCCCCTTTAGGTACTAAGTTGTCCCTTTTTGCCAGAGATTAAGACGAGTAATATCTGCTTTCTTTATGGTTGTCTTAAGAATTTAATTTACTAACAAAATTATTATACTCAAATAATTGCAAATAGATTGTTTACCTGCCACCTCCATGGGTCGAATTTCTGAGGATTTTCATAAACGTTTGGATCAAGATGGGCAGCTGCAAATATTGGAATCACGCTCCACCCACTAGGAATGTCATATCCTAAAACAAAATATTAATTAGCATTCATTAGCTAAATTAGAGACATTTCGAGAATATCCACTAAGAGTAAGAAAACAAAAAAGGTTAGTAATCAATAATTTACCTTTGAACTGAACATCGGTAACCGCTTTCCTGTGCACAAACTTGATAATATTCCCAAGCCTGAGAGTCTCACTCACAACCTGCACATAATTCGAATATAAGAAATAAAAAAAACTACGTTAATATTTATTTAAAATTATGACAAAATGTATTATATATGAGAGCTTACACATTGGCTGAAGTCCATTTGTTTGTAGTCTTCCCATGTCAATGGCCCAGTTTCCCCTCTAGCCTTCTTCTTCCTAACTATCTCAAGATGTTCTTCCTAAAAACACAAGTAAACTTAATTAATTACTCATACTTCATCAATAAAACCAAGTAAAAAAAAGAAATTAATTAATTACCCTAAGATGTTCAACAGCTTTCGGGGAATCGTGAAGAAAATAAAGAACCATAGTGATAGCAGTAGAAGAAGTCTCATGGCCGCCAAAGAGTAGGCCAAGCAATAAATCACCAAATTGCTCAGCGTCGAGATTAGACTGTTCAAGGACAAAGCCCAAAAGATCGCCTTCTCCAATTTTATCGGTACCCGCTTCTTTCTGTTCAATTCTTTCCTTCATCAACCTCTCGATTGTTTTCAGAATGGTCGCCCTCGACTTCAATACACAATACGAGAGCAATGAATTTGAGAGCAATTAATGTGAATGAACAAATAAACAAACAGCAAGAAGAGGGAGAATTATGCTTAATACCTGAATGGCTTTTCTATATGCAGTCCCCGGGAAATTAAGAGGAAGAGAAATCACACCCTTCATGAAGGCCATGTAGAGAAAGCGAAGCCTCTCTGTTTCCGGCTCCCCGGGTCTCATGCTCAGTATGTTTTTTACCATCAAATTGAATGTAATCTGTAGAGAGAGAGAGAGAGAGAGAGTTATTATGTGTGCGCCGAAAAAATTACAGAAGATGTTCATGTCATCCTGCAATATATTCACTCTTTCTACATAAATGTCCTAGCATCTACTACCATGAATTACCTGTAAAACTAAAACTTTGGCACTACTCAGATCGATAATTGATTGCTAAAAGTAGCACACTTTTTAGTACAAGTTATCTATTCTATAATCGCAGGTTCACGTTTAGGTCTGTGAGCTAATGTGATGCGCAGTGGTTGCAGGATGAGATTCACAAGATCTTTAGTCATGAAGCTACATAGGCTACGTTAAAAAACCATACCATAATTGATAAAGAAATGCTAGGGGCACACCCCAAACCACACCACCAACCACACTCTCCTCTCTCATTTGCTACAGTACACGGGGCCCCACATGGGATTTTAAAATTTTAAAATCCCATGTGGGGCCCTGTGTACTGTAGCAAATGAGATAGGAGAGTGTGGTTGGTGGTGTGGTTTGAGGTGTGCCCCTATCACCACTCTAATTGATAATGGCCTGATTTTATTCTATAATCCTGGCTCAGTTTCTACCAAATACTCATTTCAAAACTTGCCAAATGCACATTTCAAAACTGGTTCAAGATCAATCCGAGACTAGTTTTGTGAGTTTGCCAAAAAGTTAAGAGTTGGATTATGCAAGATCATACGTTTAAGAGCTAACAATAATGTTTATGCCATTTAATCTATTTAACCTATGTTATTCATAAATTAAAACCAATAATCAAGTGATCAAAAAGAATATATATATACCTTACAAGCCTCTTCTTTAGCCGGGAAAACCACACCCTCCTTCCAAGTGTTGAGATTCAATTTAGTGTACTTATCGGAGTCCCCGAGGAAATTGTTGCGAAGCCTGGCGATGCCCATGAAGTTGACGGAGAGGGACTTCATGTAGCGGTGCATCTCGCCGGTTAGCACCAGCATTGACGTCTTCCCGAGGATGTCAGCCACGCTCTTCGGGAAGCTCGGTTCGAACAACCGGTTGTCATTCATCAGCACGAACCGGTTGAGCTCTGCGTCGGCGGAGATGATCGTCGGGTTACCGAAAATGTGCGATCTGTAGATCTTACCGTACCTACAAAATCAACCACATTATTCATTTTTGTGAAATAAGACATTATAGTTAGAATGCTAGTCAAATTCCAGATACATTCATTAAGAGAAAGGATAGTTTATCATCATGTAATTCCTGTTGACATCGAATAGCCTTATCTGGAGTTCAGAAGTGTGAATGCTAATAAATTAGTTTAGGCTATATGTGCACCCATTATATTAACACAAAGCATGTCCTTAATTAAGGCTCCGTTCGGCTAAGGATTTAAGGAAAAACAATTAAGGAGAATGGTTAACTTTACTTGGTCCATTTATTAATGCAAAGGGTTAAATTAAACAATCTATTAACAATTTTTTTAATCATTGTGATCAGTTTTAGTGCTTAGGGAAAAGGAGGATTAATCATCTTATCTTCAAAAAATATACGGTATAACCGTTAACTCGTCTATGTAGTTGAATTGGTAAACTCCTTTTTTTGAAGGGTTAACTCATTTTAACCTCTCTATAGAGGAGTTAACCCTTCAGTAATTTTTTTGTTTGGTAAACCAAGAGGGGTTAAACTGACTTTATATATTTTTGTGTGTTTGACAGGTAAAGGACGGGTTAACTTTTCTTAACCCCTCACTTATCCTAAACCCAACAACACTTAGGTAAGATGGCAATAGGTGAAACAAGGAGTTAAGAGGAGTAATTCCTCTTTAACCAGCCAAACACAAAAAAATTTAAACAGGGAGGAGTTAAAATGACTTAACCCCACTTAATTTGTCAAACACCAAAATTATAAGAGGGTTAAGATAACCCTTCTAGAGAGGTTAAAATGAATCAAACCTTCAAAGTGAGGTGTTCACTATTCCACCTAATTATGCGCATTAAGAGATAATCCCTATATTTATAAAGAAAATAGTAATAACTCCTATTGTTCCTAACACTAAAAAGATCGATCACAAGGATTAAAAAAAATTCTATCTAATGGACTAAGGAATTTAATCTTTCGGGCTAACAAAAGACTAACTATGTCACCTCTTCCCTAAACTTTTATCAATGGGAACTTAATATTTAGTATTTAACCAAGTAGGGCACAAGTAGAATAGCAGTCCAAATCTTTCCAATACAAATATTGTCATGCATAGTAACTATTGCCTGTTGTACTCATCACCAGTAATTCTTTAAAATCTCAAGTGACTCCGATCCAAGTGAGATAAATATGTCTCTGCCAATGCAATTCATATAGTAAACTTATAGTAATAATTAAAATCCCTTAAACAATTTTTAAGTATTCACTTGGTATGGATCTTCAGGATGTTAGACCATGTAAAGAAAGGTTTCAAATCTTCTCCAATTTGGTAGTAATTAGAGAGGATCCAATTCCTTTAACTCCTCAACACATCAATCTTAATCTTAAAGTTTAAAACAATGCCGCATAGGATTTTCGCAGTTATATTGATAGTGGTTTTCTAATACCATGCTATTATATTTTGTGAATTTAATTGTATTTTCTTCAAAGATAAACGTAATTTGATCAAAAAAATTGTACATTAAAAATGGTAGATTGATTACTTCAAAAAGAAATCATGGTACAAAATCACCATGAATAATATTAACTGACTAAAATATAAATCACAATGGTAACAAAATTAAAAACTTTTCAATAAAAAATATTGTTAAAAACCATTCCCATGTTTCACTAAATAATAAACTAGTCACTAGAGATGACCATCAATTATAAGAAATGTCGAAGTCTTAAGCTTTTTTAACATGCATGGTAAAGGAAGAAATGTTACCATGCATAGTAACATGCACAGTCATTAAAACAAGGAGACAAATTAATTTTCTCTTCCAACAATTCTTTACTATAGTAACGATAGCATAAATTATAATAATTAAATCTCGTTATTTTAGTAAGGGTTGAGGGAAGAATTGTTTGGAAAAGGAAAGTACAAGTTTTTCCGTTGAGTAGCGGTCCAATAGTGATAACTAGACTAGTTTGGGGAGTAATATTAATGGGGCCAAATTTCAACCCACATAGTTAATGAGCCTTAAATAAAGGCTAGAAACTAATTTAACCAAAAAGCTTGATACAATTTCTAGACTGTAATTGAGATCTATCACTTCTTAACCTATCCGATATGAGACTATACTCACGTATTGATAACCTCAGCAAAAGCTAGAGAGCATTAATTAAATAAATTTTTAGTTTGTTTCTCCCCTTCTCTCTCTTCTCATATATATTTGCTTATTCAATAAGTTTTTGTAATTGTTCCATCATATCGGACTACCCTCCCCAATTTTTTGATAGCAATTTAAGAAGAAAAACCCCACGACTTATTTTTAAAGCGTTATAACATTAATGTAGGAATGTAGTCTAGTCAATATTATCTCCAAAGGGAACCATTTTGTCTGACATGCGTATTACGAGTTTTAAAAGAGTAGAGTGACATATCTAAACTGTTGTCCATGCTGATGAGATCTAGGTGTTCGGAATACTACTTTTAAGTATTTGCAAATTTTCATTTCACCAAGCATCTAAATTTTTTTTATTTTATTTTAAAGGTTACATGGAAACTAATTTTGTCGAAGAATTTCTACAATAACAAAAGGTGAATAAACATCGCAAACAAAGCAAACAAATCACTGGATACAATTACTAACTAGCTGGCTAGCTGGAAGTAATGTCAAAACCTAAGCTTTCATAACACGCACAGAATGCCTACTGCCTACTATATTAATCTTTATGAACCGTAGACTACGAAAACCATTAATGTGGAAAATGAAGTTAGCTAATTATAAACATAATATGAAGAAGCTAAAATAAAAAAAAATGATAATATATACTTTTGGACGTGTTCTTCCATGTACTGGCCGAGGGAGGTGCAGGGATGAGTCCTGCGGAAGGCGATGGTCTCGCCGAGAAGAGGCCATCCCATTTCTCCAGGCGGCACTTTAAGCCCCTTCTTCTTCCACCCATTATCGTGGCCCAATTTAAGGCCCAAAAATGCTGCTGTAAGCACTAACAATGTTGGAAACAGCAAGAAGAGGAGAACCACAGGAGCCATTGCTTCTCTCTCTCTGTAGCTCTCCTGCTTTTCTCTCTCTGGCTAGAATGAAGCAAGAGAGAAGATGGGTTTGTGTTATGATTTATAATAAGGCTAAATAACACACATACGCCCCTGTTGTTTCAACTACTTTTCACTTATATATATATATATCCCAACTTGAATTTAGTAGTAAAAAAATATTCTAAATTTTTTAAACATACACTTATGTATCTTTGCTCTTTTAGTGGCACTTAAATACCCTAATGTTTTTTACAGCTAGCACTTAAATATTCTAAAGTTTTACAACTAGCATTTATATGCTCTGAAGTTTTTAAAACTTAGACATAAATACCCACAGTTATACAAACTTGAGGGTATTTTTAAAAACTTTAGGGTGTTAAAGTGTCGGATTTAAAAACTTTAAGGTATTTAAGTTCAAGTCTTAATGATTTTAGGATATATAAGTTCTACCAAAAACAAGAAAAGGTATATAAGTACAGGTTTAAAAAGTTTTAACGTATTTTCTTGCTACAAAATACCAGTGAGGATATATAAGTAAAAGCTAGATGAAACAACAGGGTGTATAAATGCTATTGAACCTTATAGTAACAATGTGAGGTTGGTATGGTGTTGTCCCATTTTTTTATTTTGGGATTTTTGCGTTATGAGTCCCTTAAATGTTTAGCGTTTTGATATTAGTCTCAATTTATCATATTTTGATATTACTCACCAAATCTTTTATAGGTATTGATATTAGCCTAGTTAGAATAAATGGGGAATATTCTGTTGACCTTAATGTTTGGACTGGTGAGAGGGAGTGAGAGTGAGAGAGAGAACATAAATCCACCACTACCTCCCATCGCCATTGATACCTTGCAAAAAAAAGTGAGAGAGCGAGAGGGGAGAAAGAAGAGATACTTTGAGAACAATTTCATTCAGAAGGGTAATTCGGTAATTAGATTAATTCAAGCTCAGACATATTTAGGGGATTTTGATAGATTATCTAATAGAGTGACCGATATCAACGCATATAGAAGATTTTAAGTACTAATACCAACATATGAATATGTGAGAGACTAATAGCAAAATACTAAAGAGGTAAGGGACTAATATAAAAAACCCTTTTATTTTTTCCGATTTGATTTTGTTGTGCTCATGATTTTTTGTGTAGAGTTTTTTTTATTATATTAGACTAGTGCGTGAGAGATCTCGAGGTAGATAAAATATTGGGCGCATGGCGCACGCGCTTGGGTGGTGCTTAGTAATTTAATTACGTTTCAAAGTTAGGGGATTCGTCTGGGCCCATTCTGGTGTCCATATCTACCTCGCAAAAAATAAAAAATATATACTAAATGAGGAAAACAAATTGATGTAACCACTGAAAAACAAGAGGCATGGAAGGTTTTGGGGGAAGATTCCATGAATCGAGGACATAGAAAATCATAAAGAGGAAAGGAAATAGCAATCGGACTTTTAAGTTGGTGATTGTGTTGAGATAATATTTTGATTCTACCATCAGGATGTGAGCTTAGGCTTGATTTGGTAAGAGCGAAAACGTGGAAAAAGGAGAGATAAAAATTAAATTTGCCTTTATAGTAAAGGATTTTTAGAAGGGAGGTAGAATAAGGAGAGGGGAGGGAAGAGAGGGGTGTTGGGAATTTACGCCGAAACCCTTAAAATAGCAGAAACGCAGAATAGAGAAAATACACAAAGATTTAACGAGGTTCGGCAACTGCCTACGTCCTCGGGAGCTACACAATTAATTTGTTATTAATCAATAAGAAATTACAATACAAGAGCAGATCTCAAACTTGATATCTCTCAATAAATACCAGTTTGTTACTGTAGCTTTCGTTACTGTAGCTACAGTAACAACCCTCTTTAATTCCCTTCTTAACCCTCTTTAATAACCTTCTTAAAGTCTCCCCTCAAAATCACGATTGAGAGCTGGAGAAGAAAAGAACAGAACAGAGAGAGAGAGAGAGAGAGAGAGAGAGAGAGAGAGAGAGAGAGAGAAGGGATACACCACCAAGATTTTCTTGAGATCGCGAGAGAGAATAATTTTCATCGCGAGAGAGAATAATTTTCTTTCGGCCCTGGGGTTTCCCTTTTATAGGGAAACCCTAGCTGAGCTGTCAACTGGCTATAGACAGCCTGGATCGCACTCAAACGAGCGCTCAAGCTCGCCTATCCTTCGACCTCGCCTGCAAGTCGTGAGCCCGCCTAGAGTTCGCTAACTCGACCTCGCCTGCTCGAGCTCGCCTCGCCTGCAGATATGCAACGACCTAGCCAACAACAACTCGAGCTCGCCTGCGCCTCGTCGACTGGATCGTAAGCTCGCCTGAGGGAGCTCCTCGCCAGACCTTCGTCTGCTCGAGAGCTCCACCTGCAGCCATCCTCGACCTCGCCTGCGAAGCTCATCTCACCTAAGGAGCTCGCTAGAAGTCGCCGACCTCGCCTGAGCTTCGTCCTTGCCTGGAGAAGCTCACCTGCAAGGTTTGGGCTTTACCCCTAATTCCAACAATTTCCCACTTGGAGACCAAACCGCCGTTAACAGGTTATCTCATCAAGCTCCTCCTCCTGTGTGGCTCCGCCCTCATCACCTATGCATGAAGGCCAACTGAAGTTGCACACAACTCCAGTTTCTGAAAGGTCACCGCCTTTGTTAACATATTTGTTGGATTCTTACTTCCTGGAATCTTCTCCAGTTTTAACACGTCATCTTCCAGTAGGGATCTGATGAAGTGGTACCGAAGCCCAATATGCTTCGTTCTAGAATGAAATGCGGAATTCTTAGCCAAGTGAATCACACTTTGACTATCGCTGTGCAAGACATTCCTCTCCTGTTTGAATCCCTGCTCAATTACCAAACCCTGAAGCCATATCATCTCTTTACTGGCTTCAGTCACTGCTATATACTCAGCTTCTGTAGTTGATAGGGTGATAATCTTCTGTATCTGTGACATCCAACTAACAGCTGTAGTTCCGACAGTGAATACATAGCCGGTGGTGCTTCTTCGGGGATCGACTTCATCTCCAAAGTCTGCATCTACGTACCCTTGCACTTCCATCTCTCCCTTACCAAAGTACAAAAACTTATGTGTGGTGCCTCGTAGATATCTCAGAATCCACTTGACCACTTCCCAATAAGCTTTTCCTAGATTCGACATGAACCGGCTGACCACTTCCACTGCATGGCCAATGTCTGGTCTCGTACAGACCATTGCGTACATCAAACTTCCGATAGCTGAGGCGTAAGGGACCTTAGCCATACTCTCTTTCTCTTCTTCTGATCGAGGAGACTGATCCTTCGATAAGTGAAAATAACTAGCCAAGGGTGTGTTGACTGGCTTGGCGACGCCCATGTTGAATCTTTGCAAAACACGGTTGATGTACTCTGTCTGAGACAACTGCAAGAACCCTTTCTTCTTGTCTCTCATGATTTGCATTCCAAGGATCTTCTTTGCTGGACCCAAGTCCTTCGTGTCAAACTCCTTTGACAGCTACTGCTTCAAACTTCTGATATCCTTCATATCTGCACCTGCAACCAACATATCATCAACATATAGCAGTAAGATGATATAACTGAACTGATATCTTTTGAAGTAGCAATAGTGGTCGGCATTACACTTCTGGAAACCTTCCTTGTGCATGAAGCCGTTAAACTTTCTGTACCACTGTCTTGGGGCTTGTTTCAATCCATACAAGCTTTTCTTGAGTCTGCACACCAGGTTCTTCTTCTTTTCTTCTGAGAAACCTTCTAGCTGGTGCATGTATATCTTCTCAGTTGGTGCATGTATATCTCCTCTTCTAGATCTCCTTGAAGAAGCATCTTCTTCACGTCTAACTGCTCGAGATGAAGATCTTCAATAACAACAATACTCATCACTGTCCTGATAGTATTGAGCTTCACCACGGGAGCAAAAATATCGGTGTAGTCAATTCCTTCCTTCTGTTAGAATCCTTTGACAACTAGTCGGACCTTATATCTTCTGGAGCCATCCTGCTCCTCTTTCACCAAGTACACCTATTTTTTGTGAAGTGCCTTCTTACCCGTGGGCAACTTAGCTAGTTCCCACGTCTAGTTTGAGAAGAGAGACTTCATCTCATCTTTCATGGCAACCTCCCACTTGCTCGCATCTCCACCCTGACAAGTTTCATCATAGCTTTTAGGCTCCCCTCCATCTATTAGCAACAGATAGTTCATGTATCTCCTGTTGGGCACAAGAGGCCGTGAAGATCTTCTCAATATCGGCTCTAGTACGTCGGGCTCCTGCGCACTGTTTTGTCCAGCAGGCTCTTCTGTCTGAGTATCTTCTGCATTGAGTTCTTCCGAGATGTTACTTGGGATATCATCTGCATCTACAAATGTTGACTTTCTCTCTGAGTTATCTATCTTGTGCATGTCTTTGTACATCACCTTCTCATTTAATATCACATCTCTGCTGCGGATCACTTTCTTGTTTTCGTTATCCTAATTGCGGTAGCCGAACTCATCTTTACCATAGCCGATGAAAGTGTATTTCTTTGATTTGGGATCAAGCTTATTCCTGTCTTGATCACTAATATGCACGTAAGCTATACAACCAAAAATTTTGAGATGTGAAAGTTTTACCTCCTTTCCGCACCATACCTCTTTTGGTATTATGTGCTTCAATGGAACTGATGGACCTCGGTTGATCAAGTAAGCTACTATGTTGAATGCTTCTGTCCAGAACTGCTTCGGTAGGCCTGACTGTATCCGAATGCTTTTGGCTCTCTCTGTCAACGTTCGGTTCATCCGCTCAGCTACACCATTTTGCTGAGGCGTGCCGGGCATGGTTCTCTCCATTTTGATCCTGTGATCATAGCAGAACTTCTTAAATCCGGTGTCTTTATACTCATTACCATTGTCGGTCCTAAGCTTTTTTATTCTCAGACCGATCTCATTCTCGACCATAGCTTTTCATCTCCTGAAAGCTTCAAATACTTCTGTCTTATACTTCAGAAAGTAGACCAATACTTTCCAAGAGTGATCATCGATAAAAGTCACGAAGTAATGTTTACCACAAATGAACGCGGCGGTGGTTGGTCCCTAAACATCTGAGTGAATGAGCTCTAGTTTCTCTTTCCTGAGGGTTCTGCC